CGTGCGTGCGTGCGTGCGTGCGTGCGTGCGTGCGTGCGTGCGTGCGTGCGCGCGTGTGTTTTGTTAGGGATTTAATTTTATTAGTAGTGAACTAAAGATCTATACAATAATAAAAAATAATTTCTATTTCAAACTAATTTATCAATTGATTTAAACATTAGCAATTCTAATTAAAATCATCCTACAGGTGAAATTTACTATGGATGATAAAACTACTTTAGAAGATTTATTGAAATTAGAGCTTCACAAATTTGAGAAGGAAGTTAAGGATATGGTAGATAAGGCAGTTAAAGAAATGAGCATGGAGAAAGTCTTAAAAGAGTTGCACAACACATGGGATACTCTTGAGTTTGGTAAAGAGACACATGAACGCACTAAACTTAGCGTCTTAAATATAAGCGAAGAAGCAATTGAGATGTTGGAAGAAAATCAAGTATGTGCCTTATCTGGATTTCTAATTCAACTAAAGACAGAAAAGATTATTATCGTAGGTACAATTGCAAAACATGTTGGAGTCAAAATATGTTGCCTATTTCCTCGATGAAGTGACAAATTGGCAACAAAAGCTTAACAATGCCGATGCCACGATCAATGCCTGGTTTCGAGTCCAACGAGCTTGGATGCACCTCGAGAGCATTTTCATTGGATCAGAAGACATAAGAAGTCAATTGCCGGAAGAAACGAAACGTTTCGAGAAGATAGACAAGGATTTTAAAGTAATTATAATTTTAATAATTTATATTATTACATTTTATGATTACATTAATTGGACATTTTCTATCAAGGATTTATTGAAAGAAATGGTGAGCAATCTAAATATAATAAAATCAACGAATAAACCGAAGCTTTTGGATCGGCTCGAGCAATTGGAGATACAATTAAATATTTGCGAGAAAGCTCTGTCTGATTACCTAGAGACAAAAAGACTAGCTTACCCACGTTTTTATTTCATCTCGTCTGCAGATCTATTAGACATATTAAGCAATGGTAAAACTCTCTCTCTCTCTCTCTCTCTCTCTCTCTCTCTCTCTCTCTCTCTCATGATAAAAAATTTTACGAAAAACTACATATATTTTATTGCAACAGGAAACAATCCCGAATTAGTATGCAAGCATTTGTCCAAATTATATGATTCGTTGGCAAAGCTCCAGTGGAAAATTGAAGAAGGAAAACCGACGAAACACGCTAATAGGATGATAGCAAAGGACGGAGAGGAAATGGCTCTGTATGGAACATGTGACTGCACAGGAAAGGTATAAAGTTAATCTATTCCAAAAGACAAAACTTAAGATGGAACAATACATATAAAACTATATTGATCATAACTTATATACCAGTATATTTAAATAATAATAATAATAAACGTATGTTTGATGTTTTATATTTTTTCATATTATTTATACATCACGACTATCCGCTATTTCGATCACTTCTGCCTCATTTACACACAGGTTGAAATTTGGTTAAATCGCGTCACAGAGGCGATGAGAAAAAGCGTCAGACATCGTTTCAGTCAGGCTGTCACAACGTACGAGGAGAAGCCTCGCGAACTTTGGATTCTAGATTACGAAGCACAGCCAACTCTATGCGGCACGCAAATCTGGTGGACCAGTGAAGTAAATATGGCATTCGCGAGACTCGAAGAGGGATTCGAGAACGCGCTTAAGGATTATCAGAAAAAACAGATCAGCCAACTAAACAATTTGATCACAATCTTGCGCGGCGAGTTAAAAGAGAACGACCGCCAAAAGATCATGACTATCTGTACCATCGATGTGCATGCGCGTGACGTTGTCGGAAAATTAATATCTATTAAAGCAGAGAACTCTTATAATTTTATATGGCAATCGCAATTAAAACACAGGTGATTACATCAGAGATTATACAAAAGTAACTGATTTTCTTTATTATTTAAAAAAACATTCGCATGCAACATATCGCTGAACTTTCAAAAGAAATTATTTCCTCACTGAAAATATGATTCATATTAATGATTGAATTCTAATTCGAATCATTCAAATATATTAATAAGAAAGTAACGATTTATAAGAATTCTTTCTCTACTTAGCAAAAAAAACATACAAATAACACTTATAAATATAGAGGCACCGACATTATATAATATAATATGTATTATATAATATAATATAATATGTATCGATAAATCGGTTTTGAAAATATAGATTATCATAATACAGTGTAATACTGTATTAAATTTCCATCCCGGTATTTCATTCCTGTCCCGATACCATAGACACTAATTTTCTCGCGCAGGTGCAGGAAAAAAGAGAATTGAAAGAGATTGTTTCGCCTCGTAGGTGGGACGACAAATCAGGAGATTGCTTCGCCAACATTTGCGACGCATGTTTCATATACGCTTACGAGTACCTGGGTAACGTGCCACGGTTGGTAATTACGCCGTTGACGGACAGATGCTACATTACGTTGACGCAATCGTTGCATCTGATAATGGGCGGAGCACCGGCTGGGCCTGCAGGGACGGGGAAAACCGAGACGACCAAGGACCTCGGTAGAGCTCTTGGACAAATGGTTTATGTCTTCAACTGTTCCGAACAAATGGATTATAAAGTACATTTCTTACTTCTCTCTCTCTCTCTCTCTCTCTCTCTCTCTCTCTCTCTCTCTCTCTTCTGTTTTTTTTTTACAGAGATTCTTGTACGTGAAACATTTAATTTCAAAAGATATTATCTTGTCGCATATTTTTGTAAAGTAAAAAAATTTATTTATTTTTGTTTGTAGTTACATCGTACAAAATGATGTATAATTTTTCCACTATAATTGTATTTTCTTCGTCCTAATATTATAATTTTCACATTTAGTGTTACACATTTAGTGAAATGTATGAGTTATAAAAAAAAAAATGTATTATTTCGTAATTTTTTAGTCATCTTGTCACATTGTTAATATGTCTGTAACCTTTTGAATGTGTTTAATATATTACGCACATGAAAGAAAAGTGCCAAAACATTATAATATTTTTGTTCAATATATATTTTTGTTCGTATAACATAATTAGCATCTGTTATATTTTAAAGTACAAGATAAAATTCATAAATTTGTTGTTTTACATTTGAATATCTGTAGTCATGCGGTAACATATACAAAGGATTAGCACAAACTGGAGCGTGGGGTTGCTTCGACGAATTCAATAGGATTTCTGTCGAGGTATTGTCGGTCGTGGCTGTGCAAGTGAAATGTGTTCTAGACGGAATCAAAAGCCGGAAAAAGAAGTTCTTATTCTTTGGAGTAGAACTTAATATCGTGGATACAGTTGGCATATTCATAACGATGAATCCTGGTTATGCTGGTAGAACAGAATTACCCGAAAACTTGAAAACATTATTTCGGTAAATGGATCATACGAGAGAGATTATCGAGAGTTAATATTGCGTAACTAATCCGGAATAAATCAACAGGCCCTGCGCTATGGTGGTGCCCGATTTTGAACTAATTTGTGAGATTATGTTAGTGGCCGAGGGCTTCCAAGAAGCGAGAATACTGGCGAGGAAGTTTATTACCCTATACATGTTATGTCGAGAGCTTTTATCCAAGCAAGATCACTACGACTGGGGTTTGAGAGCCATCAAGTCCGTTTTAGTCGTCGCTGGAAAGCTGAAACGTGATGATAGGCGAAGGCCGGAGGACCAAGTGCTAATGAGAGCGCTAAGGGATTTTAATATGCCAAAAATCGTGACTGACGATGTGCCCGTGTTCATGGGATTAATAGGTAAGAGACAGATTAATGTTACTAAAATTGGCTATAGAGGAAATAAATTTAAAAAATCATACGGAAAAAAAAGTTTATTAGTACATCATATTTTATGCTGGCATAGTCAATTTCGTTAGTTTTTGTTATCGTGTGAACAACGAAAACTTATTAAAATATATTTCTCTTCATGTTTAATCTTTAAAAAAAAAAAGACTTAAAAAGTTATAATCGTTAAAAATAAAGAAAGGAGAAGGCTTGTTTTCCAGATTTTTCTTATAATAAAATTGATTGAGCAGACAACAAACAAGTTATCGGCAGATAAACGAGAAATTTATTTATACAAAAAAGTAGTATAATAAATTTTAAAACAAATTATATATTTACAATTTTCTTAGATATGTTGATGTAATTTTTTGTTTTATTATTCAGGAGATTTATTCCCCGCATTGGATGTACCGCGAAAGAGAGATTTAGATTTCGAAATAATAATTAAAGCTGCGGCTCTTGACTTAAAGTTGCAACCAGACGACGGGTTTATTCTCAAGGTATATTGTACACGTAATGTTCACCTTGAATGGTTAATTGGCAAGCAAAACGAGAAAAAAAGAGAAAGAAAGAGAGAGAGAAAGAGAGTTTCATCATCGATTCGCTTCAGGTGGTACAATTGGAAGAGTTGTTTCACGTTCGACATTCAGTCTTTATCGTTGGCCTCGCCGGGACTGGTAAGACCGAAGTCTGGAAAACGCTTAATCGAACGTACTCAAAGCAAAAGCGCAAACCGCACTACAACGATTTGAACCCAAAGGCGGTGACCAACGACGAGTTATTTGGTGTCATTAATCCGGCAACGAGGGAATGGAAAGACGGGTTGGAAGATAGCACACCCGTCAATTTTCAGCGCGCGATCAAACGCGCTACGCGCCACATTAGCCCACGCTCCATAATAGGTTCGCCACGACTTTCTATTCTTATTGCTACTTTTGCAGGTTGTTCTCCATGATAATGAGGGAGCAAGCCAACATGGCCGGCGATGATCCAAAGTGGATCATATTCGACGGTGACATCGACCCGATGTGGATCGAATCCCTGAATACCGTGATGGACGATAACAAGGTTCTAACATTAGCGAGTAATGAAAGAATCGCATTAACCAAACACATGCGTCTTCTCTTCGAAATCTCAAATTTAAGGTGATTGTTTAGCAATCAGTCAACTATCTTTTATAATTTTTTATTTCTAAGTACTAGAATGTAAAACTTTTGAATCCATAAAAAATATTTTTTTATTATTCAGATAAAATCTTAATAATAATTTCAGAGTAGTTTACAATAATTAAAATTTGTTATCAATATCTAATTATCTGATATTTATCACCTGACTATACAAAGAAAATTTATTTAAGGAAAAGGTTTGAAATCGATTAAACTTAAAAAAAGATTAAAACATAAAATTTAATTTTGCTTTGTTTTAATGAATAAATATTTACATAAAATGTGGACTTTATGGCAAAAAAATTTCATTTATAACAAAAATAGCGTTGTTAGCTTTTTCAATATTCGTATTTTCATTTCAGGACAGCTACGCCTGCAACAGTGTCTAGAGCAGGAATTTTATATATCAATCCACAAGATTTAGGTTGGAGCCCGTAAGCAATAAATATACTTACTATGTCATAATGTAGTATATTTCTATATATATTGTATATATATA